GCTGATGAATCGAAGCTTCTCTGTCACATTCAGGAGGCCGCAGACGGCAGTTTAGTCTCCATTTAGGTTCTGAAGTCGCTCATTGATTTCTCAGCTGCACTCTGCTGATTGCAGCAGTTTGAGATGAAGTCTGGATCTGCTCCAGATCCGATACCGGCCCAGAGAGGGGGGAAGCCCTCCACTTAATGCGCTTCATCACTCTAAACGTCCAGTTGTTATACAGAGACCATAAAAAATCTAAATGGGCTTCATTGCAGCATAGCCTCATAGTTTATGGGTTATTTGCTAAAACGCTGCTGGAGGATTATAATTATGTGAAACATGCGGCCAGCCGTCCGTCCATAGGATAGCTCTGGGGAAATAGGATTTGGACTCAGTTTGCGTCCATTCAGTGGCTCCAGAGCGGTCTAAAGATAAACTGGACACAAGGCCAAAGGTGAGATGTGAGTGTACGTTATGCGTCGCCGTGGTTTGTTGTTTACGTAATCTGCTGACCTTTTAGTCGACTTTCCCAAGAAATGCTTCAACGACAAACTTTGATTTTGTAGAGAAGCAGAACGTAAAGACTTGAGAGGAAAGTCAAACTTGATGCACGGCGTCAACGCTGCCGTTAAAACGTGCAAAATATTTATTAAAACTGAACTAAACTGGGGATTAAGAAAAGAATTTATTATAGTGACTGATTTTTATTTTTTAAAGTGCCGTGTGTCATGAAACTAGAGTATGATATTCATTTTATTCTTTATTCTTTTACTTGATGTGTGCTTATATTTATCTATTCTATCTATTAGCTGTGTTTTCCCTGTTTGTGTTTGCTTGTATGAGCAGTGAGAGTACAAAAATAAATCAATAAAAGAATAAAAAAAGAAAAGTGGAACTAAAACGAAGAATAAATAAGATTTAAAAAATAAATAATGTGGCCATATAAAGCAATATAAATCAAAAAATGAATCAATAAAAGAACAGGTGAAAAAATATAAATACATAAATAAAATAATAAAAATAAATAAGAATTTATTTTTATTATTTCATGATAAATAATCCTAAAAATAAAATAAATAAAATTTAAAAAATAATTTAAAATACATATATTGAAAATATGTTAATAATTTATTTTTTAAAAGTTTTTATGTATTTATTTTTAAATTATTTTTCAAATATTTTTTTCTGCAAATTACACATTTTCACGTTTTTATCCAGTTTAATCATCGCAGTTCCATCAAATCCTAAATGTAGATCGATTAGATATAACTTTATTTATCCCTTTGGTCGGGTACCTCAGGGAATTTGTTGTAAATGTTTTATCCATTATTACATTTCTGGATGACACAGTGAAGCCTTTAATCATCTCAGAATAAATCACATTGAACTTGTTATTCATCCTCTGTCACCTCCAACTGTTTGATTCCAATGCCGACAATAATTACACTGCTACGTATAGTTTCTATCGACACAGATATTCCATTAAATTCATACGTTGCTGTTTATCTTACAATCACTTTTAACTCCAGAGTCACAGGTCTGGTCCTAAACGTGGCCTCTGTTTCCATCTAGTGGACAAATGCTGTCATGAGCTTTCAAGGATTCAAGGATTCAAGGAACTTTATTTGTCCAGCTCACAGTCACAGGTTTGTGGCATGAAATTAGTCCTCGGGTCCTGTTTTGTTTTGTTTTTTTAAGAAAAAGCCTCATAAATAATAAGTACAATAAAACAAAACATATGTAAAAATACAGCAATGCAAGTGTAGTAAGAAAAATATATAAATGTTAGAGTAGAAACCAGAATTAGTTGTGTTCACATGTTTCCTTCTGTGATTTAATATTTTCAGAATATATTTAGTTTTTAGGGCTTTTTATAAAAAGTAAAAATCCAAATGTGACGGCATTTTCTGATATTTAAAATAAGAATCTAAAACAGAAGTCGTCCTGTTGGGCTCATTTTCCTCATATTATTATCTACATTTAATTTTCACATTGTTGGTGGTCACGCTGAATACATGGATCAGTTTTCTTTGCTTTAATCCTAAAACCACAGCATGATATCAGACAGTTAAATGTGTCGTGATCAAAGATAAATGATTATTTTACTGTCATCACGACTTCTCTTCATGTATTTTTCTGTACATTTCAGAAAGCTGGACTTCAAAACATTGCTGCAACGTTGTCTAGTCTTGGCTTCTTCATGATTAAATG